AAAAAGTGGTGTCAGACAAGGATGTCCACTCTCCCCATTCTTGTTCAACTTCGTCATCGATGAAATAATAAGGCGAACACTGGACGGTTTTCAAAACCCCGGTGCTCAAATTGTTGCTGGCGAGAGCCTTGTCGATCTGTAGTACGCCCTCATCTTTGAAGATCATAGTGAAATACAAGCCCTGTTGAATAAACTGACCACCATCATACCGTCTTTTGGCATGCACCTTGCACCTTCAAAGTGCAAAGTCCTGCTTCAGAACGTGCCATCTGCGAACATATCCCTTACAGTTCAAGGAGAACCACTGGAGATTGTGGAAAACTTTACATACCTCGATAGCTGCATTAGCTCTGACGGAAGTGTCCGATGAAGTCAGTGCAAGAATCCCAAAGGCTCGAATCACGTTTGCTAATTTGCGTCACTTGTGGCGTTCAAAAGACATCTCACTGGATCTGAAAGATCGTGTACACTAGGCTACAGGAAGGACTGGGTTCGTATGGGTGCGAGACATGGCCTCTGCGGGTTAATGATGTGAGGCGTCTTCAGGCATTCGACCACCGATGCCTCAGAACCGAGGGGCACTATGTCCCCTCCCTCACCCATTCTTTTTCTTCTCTGATGATGATGATGATTGATGATGATGGCTTTATATATGAAGCGCTGTACAAGTGTTCCTGACTTCGTTTTGGGCCTCAATATACCTTGCGCACCTTTGGTGGTTGTTTTGATGTGAACACTTGCTTGGGAGGCTTAGACCGAGAACTAAACTGGGAAAATACCGTTACCACAACCCTGTATACGCTTGAATTTCACATACGAACCGTTAGCCTGATGGAGTACAGGCGCATTCAGCCATGCTCGAACCATACGAACCATTTTCGAACTGCGTTGGTAGACCATTCGCACACAAGCACTAAACGCTGTATTGATCGGTTGTCTGACATCTCTTCTCTCTCTTTGGAGAAACACGTCTTGTTGAGGATATTGAAAGAGTTTGAAGCTGCAGTAGAGTAGGAGGACGACGAAGTAGTGTACCTGAAAACATAAGACGAGCATACGATGGGGCTTAGAAGAGCCCTACAGAGAATCCGTTTCACGTACCCTGGAAGTTGCATTAGTTCTGATTAGTGTGATAGATGAGGTCAATGGACGAATCTGCATGGCTCGGGTCGCATTTTCCAATTTGAGACAGAGTGGCCTCAGAGTGGTTTATCTCTGAATCTGAAGGGACGTGTGTATCAAGCTACAATACGGGCTGTTTTGTTGTATGGCTGCGAGACTTGGCCTATTCGAGCAGCGGAACTGAGACGTCTTCGGGTGTTCGACAATCGTTGTCCCAGAACCATACCTCGTGTGGGTTGGCGTCGGCGAATCCGTAACGAGGCAGTTAGAAAGCGCGTTTTCGGTTGTGCAACGATTACTTCCATGACGAATGTGTCCAGCACCAGAAGCTGCGTTGGTTGGGACATGTGTTGCGTATGCCGAACCATTGTTTGCCGAAGAGTGTTGTTTTCCATGCCCAATTTAGAGTGGCGTAAACAGAGAGGTGACCAACCCTTGACTTGGCAGAGGAGTATGAAGGAGATCACGAAACGCTTGGGTGCTGTCGGTGCTACTCGCCTTCCAGGATGGGGACCGCGTGATCCTCACTGTGCCTGGTTGGCGACACTACAAGATAACAGTGGCGTTCTTGTTGTCAGTTTCTATCCAGATTGCTTAAGTGAATGTCTGGAGGTGTAGGTACCTCGGAATGATTGTGATAAGCTAGCATTAAGTCCTTTCCCCGTCCACCTTTACTCTTTTCTTCACAATAAGGCTTTCAAATAAGTCATGATTGTACGGCAGTGAAGCATCGGTGTTGAGCACTGAGGACATGCTGCCGATGATGATGAATTTGGTTGGTCAGTCTCAATTTGACAGTTCTGTTCCTCTGTTATGATGAAGTCATTTACTTCTTCATTTGTGGTCTAACTTCGTTCCACTTGGATGGCTGATAGAATGACATTCTATTTTCTTTCCATTGGTTGTCGTTAGGTTGTTTGATTTCCCATGTGGTTCATAGCAGTAGTGAACCGAAGCTGTGTGATTCTTTTGTTCGTGGCGGCCGATAGACTTGGTCGTTATTGATGTGTCTATTGAGTGATTTTCGTGTAGAGCATCAAGCCTCGGTGAACTCTTTCCCCTCGTTTTGTTTTCTTACATGACCAAGTGTTCCAACACCATGCCCACTGAACTGATGTCCTTCTGTGTCTTCGTGAAATGAAACAAGTGACATTGGGTCGTCTTCTGCCGGCAAGCTTGTGCTCGTGTATTCTATTGACAGTTTCTCTTCTAGGTTGGCCAACATAGTGTTTATCGCATTCGCTATATTCAAGTTTGCAGATCACTTTCGTCTTCTTCATTGAATCCAGTCTTGCCATTGGGTTTAAGGGGCTTCTTCCCAACTTGTCTATAGGCTTGAATGCGACTGTTATTCCATGTCACCGTGGTTGTCTTGTAGTCGTTTCCGCGACGTATTTTATACACGAGAGCGTAATCCTTCCTTGTTCGCAGGTATTTTTTCTACCAAGCGTTCAATTTATGGTGCCTCCTTCCGTTAGCATGGTAGTTAGGCACAGAAAGGGTGCCACAGCTGAGCGACTTTCTTCTGTTGATGATTACCCCGTTGTCCAGACCGAACGCAAAGAACCGCAGATAAAAAACCGAAAAAAGCGCAACTCGGATTCCAAGCTGGGCGAAAATCACCTCGGGACCAACCACATCTCGGAGATATTAGATACTGTTTCGAAACTATATAAGCACAGACAGAGGAGGAATTTACCCACTCAACCTAGCACTGAGGACGTCACCTCGATTGGTGATGAAACGTTTGCAACCCAGCTGCCAACCCGGTGAACCTAACAACAACCAGGCGTAACTGACTTCCTGAGCAACTATCGTTGAGCAAAAGGCTGTCTCCGATGTACTGGAGCGACGATAGAGAACATGTCTTTATTCTAGCCCGTTCTATGGACTGTGGTCTAGATTTATGCGTGACACGCAAAGTTGTAAGTGCTTGAAGAGAGGCTCAAGAATCAAAGGCCAATTGATATTAAGCTTGAACAAACGGGTTTTATATAAAATTTGTTTGTGACTTGAAAAATTTGACTATCTTGCCTCCCTGGAGAAGCCAATCACCCGAGATGCTTGCTCAACAAAAGAGGAAGGACGAACTGAATTCAACCGCTGAACTGTGCCTTCACTTAACTTACTTGTTCGGCTTCTTGACGAAGAACGACCGCCGACGCATTTTTGTCCTTCATGAATATACCCAGAGTGTCTTTTTCAAGACACGTATCTCGTAATTGTCGTGCTGTTTTTCCAGTCTCTTTCCGACTGTGCACAAAAATGAGGATTTGGTTTCGACCTGCGTTTTCCATCACCTTGTTGTAGACAATGTCATTCATGGTTTGGTAGCGTTTCACAGCTTTCTTTTCTGTGATCCCAATGTACTGCTGTTCCAAAGGGACAGGGCGATAGCTGAAAGTAAGACGTGCAAAATGGTTTCACAGGACAGGCAAAACTAGAATGATGTTTAACCACAAATTTAGCAAGACATAACAGGCTAGCTGGTGGCCGTCGGATAGAAGGATCAATGTATGGGGAACCCAGGATGGCAGTCGTTTAATACGTAAGCAGCCGTTTTCGGTATCCTACTGTTCTTAAAAGCACCCAACAGCCAGTTCACTTATTGGTTGGCATCATTTACATGCTTGAACTTGCAGACTGTCCACATTGGTGAGATCATAGCGGTCTATTTCGTCATCTATAACCTGTGTAGCAGGGCTTTCTGATTCAAACAGCACAGTCTCCCCAAGGGAAGGTAACGGCATAACAAGCCGTCCAATTTTTTTCACGGAGCAGGAATTAGTGGGTATGTTATACAGGAGATAAAATCATTACCCAAGTATCGCTGACTGGGCTCCCAGTCAGCAGGCAGGAAATTGATAGGGCATCTAAACAGCCAATGGGCGATCAGCTGAAACTACACAGAAGACCCACTAATCCGCCAGGCAAGTAGGTGCAGAGGCTTATCAACTGTAGCCGTTAGTGGCTGATAAGCATAATGAACCAAGACGTAGTTAGCTTTCCCACCAAACCAGGATGCGGTAGACCACATCTGACCTCACACGTGGGGAGAGTGCAAGCCTAGAAAAGTAACAGTAGGGAATGATCCCAGGCCCAAACCCAATTACCTATTGGGAGCGCAAGAAAGGTGAAATGTGGCCATGTGGCCGCCTAGCTTAAGATAAAACCTAGCCTCAAACAATAAAAGAAAACGTGTGAAAAGTTTCTTGTGTCTGATTACCGGAAGTTCCCGTGTGTTTTAGTTTGTTTATGCTTCACAACCTCAGAATTCTGATTCCGGCCCTTTCAGAGTGTATAATTAATAGCACCCACTGGTCCTCGAGCCCAAAACCGGATAAAGAAGGTGGATATCGAGTTGCAAGTCCCTCAGGTTGGTAAGAGCCATCTTTGCTTTCAGAATTAGCAGTCACACCCCCACTTGAGTGTAAACGTCGACCATAATACAACCATACAGACGGACAGAGTTGCGGATGATCTCCAACCACTGAATTGTGAAGTTTCGAAGTCAAACCGAAGACTTCCTGCATGATTAGGCTGCAAAAAATGACGGCACTATGTTTCCATCCAGCCGGAATCGATCGGCGGTTGCCAAGAATGCGAACAAAGCCTGCCGATACCTAGTGGTTGGCAGATCGGTGAACCAAAGCGACTGGCTCTCCGACTTAGGAACGCGGAGTTATTAGGTCTGACTATTCGGTCATTGCAGCCACCCTCGCGAACGCTTGGCTCTATCCCTTTTATCTCGAGCTCACATGTTGTCCTCTTGATGTACTACTAAAAAGAAGCGATATTCTCGAACGGATTAAAACCGATAAGGACAAAGGTTTTGAATGCTCCTTGAGTCCATGGCTGAATCGGAAAGAATGGGCACAAATTAGCCAACCAGAAACTCGTGTTGCACAGGAAGGGTTGTTGTCTTAGTTATTCGTCGACACCAGGCTCAACTCACCTAATCTGGCCTAATACGGAGAAAGACGACTAACCTCTGGATCTGGATACCGAGGCTGTCAAAAACCATGTTCGGATGTGTTCGTGCTGCGAGTTGCCGATTACACGACATACAGATAAAGAAACCGTCTTAGACCCGCCCCCATGATTCTACAGGAACTACTTGTTCCGATCGCAGAGAGTCGCTTATGACCCGAGTTCCACTGTAGCAGTGCAACTCCGATCACTAAGGTCAATACCGACGCCTGTGTTCCAGCACTGGTGCTTCGGAGTCCGCAGAAAGATGCTGATATATATTCTGCTGCAAGCAGGCGGATAAGTCGGGCATATGACCGAGCTACAGCCTTGAATTCGGGTATTATAGAGGCGGTATGCATCTAGGGCGAAGTTTCCAAGAACGCGCAGTAAACCTGCCTGTTGACCTAAACGCATTAGTGTATGCATTTTACTTTAGTCTACATCATGTACCAGCAACTACACCTTCGGTGAACGAAAAGTCGTAGACCAGAGAAGGGATAGTCGAAATTAAGGATGATGACCTAATCGGTTAACTGAAGTTGACTCAGGATAGTTGGATATTAAATACAATGACCATGATTCAATGATGCCACTGGCTGAATGACTGACTTGTCAGCCATTATTAGTCAGTTTCGCGTCCGTGTGTTTACATTTTGGGAGGCAGCAATGCCCCACGACTGAGTTTACTGGTCAGACAATAGACCGTTTTCACACAGTATATATCTAGGCAAAAGAAGCGCTGAGAATTAGACTGTCCCTGAACCGCAAAATTCACGGCCCACCCTGTGTATTACGTGGAACGTCATCGGCTCCTTCATCACAGTCCTTCCAACTAAAGCGAACTAGCATACCTTGGCATTGCCAAGCCGAGGTTTCCGTCAGACCCGGACCATGCTTCCGAGACCACGATGGTAATTGCGTCAAATGAGGCATTTGAGGCATTTGGTCCCCGGAGCTTAAATCAGTGGCAGAATGCATGAATAAGTGAATGCAGAGTAAGCTCGAAGAAAGCACAGGAAGTATGCATAAGTAAGTAGTGTAGAGTTGGAACAAGAGTGAAACAGCACCGTGAGGGACTACACAATCTGTTTGTAGAATGTGCATTAGTTGGTTTCCGAGACCGAAGTGGAAGGCTGTTCTGAGGGCCCCATCTGCCGTTCTTAGTAAAAGAGCCTAACCCGCAAAGCATAGCACAAAGTTTGGAATCCACTATGATCGGGTGACCACTACTGTAGTTACTACGCACTTTAGATGTCAGAAAACTATCTGAACTACACTATGCAGTCCAATTACGGGGGCACTCATTAGCACCAAAAATTATTCGGTTCAGATTTACGTCCGGTTGCAGTTAAGCTCAGTCGTGGTTACATACGCCAGAACCTGATGAAATATCCAGTCGTAAAAAGCGACGGTGGTCGCTATTAAATCGTCCTTACTTTTTCCCCAGTCTCCGTCGTGTCTTAAGTCACCCAAGAATGTCAATGAGTAGTGGCAGCTTTTTAAAGGTAAAGGCTGAACTGCCATTCGGAAATACCGAAGCTTGTTCACAGCCGCACATTCGGCGGAATTAGCTTGTTCACAAATAGGCAAACAGATCACCCAACTGTCTATTCGTCATCCGGAGAAGTCCTGAAGATGCAGCTTCACTCTAGTACGAGTGCTCAATTTAAACTCTTGTGAGCGAAACAGTCACTGATAAAAACGGCTTGCTTATCTTTAAAAAAACAAGAGTTCGAATCGTTGACTTGAACCTTTACACTACCACCTCCAGGTGATCTGCCTGATTCCTGTCCATAACACAGCGCTGGATAGTGAATTTGGAACTTCTGACACAAGCATCACCGATCTGCCGCTGTCGTGAAACTCTCTCTAGTCTGCTTAAAGATGGAGATAGAGTCCTGTCGGAGCTCGTCTAACTTATTGACATCTATCTGGTGGAAAGGGACCACCCCATCCAACTACAGTGAGTTGATACTGGTGCCCATTTTCAAAAACAGTGATCGCAGTGGGAACAGAGAAATTAGCTTGATTCACAATATAATCATACGCTTCATGTTACTATTCTATGCTGTCGTATGAAGGCGCGTAAAAAAACCGGACCCAAGAACGGCAACATTCCGGCCTGGAAGGGGCCCGGCTCAACAGCGTATGCCCCAAAAGCTCGCGAATATCATGCGCTGTTTGTAATCACACTTGTAGGCACGGTAATGTACGGAAAACTCTCCAAAAGCTTTACTATGAACAGTGGTGTGAGACAGGGATGTCCAATCTCTCCATTTTTCGTCTAATTTCGTTATTGATGACGGAGTGAAGCGAACACTGGGAGATCACCAAAACCCCTGTACTCAGATCTATTCTAGCGAGAATCTTGTCGACCTGGAATATCCGGACGACATTGTTTTCATTTTCGAGTAGGAGGCACAAATAACAATAGAAAAGCTGACCGAGGACATCCAGTACTTCGACATATGCGTCGCGGGACGTACAGTCTTTGAAGTAACACTGGAAGCTGTGAAACGCTATACGTATCTCGGAAGTAGCATTATAATGGAGACGAAGTTATCCCTCGATTCTCAAAGATCGGAATTGCGCTTGAGAATCTGCGTCACTTGTGGTGTCAAAAAGGCATATCGCTGGGTCTCAAAGGACGTGTAGCACACTACACTATGGGCTGTACTGTTGTACGGCTGCTAGACTTTGCCACTTCGGAGCGGAGATCCGGGACATCTTCAGGCCTTCGACCACGGGTGTCTCAGAACTGTAGCCGGAGTCAGCTGGAACCAGCGAATTCCCAGTGTGATTGGGAAACGGATTTTGAGTGAAGTGGACGGTATTTCATTAAAATGCATGTAGCACTGCAAACTAAGGTGGTGGGACACGTGTTACGCATACCGAGTTAAGACCCACCTGGCGAGCACTGTTTTCCGTGCCTAATTCGGAGTGTCGGAAAGCTAGCGGTGGACAGAATTTGACATGGCAGAAGATAAGGAAAGGATTTTATGAAGAATTTAGGTGTCGTTGCTGTTCACCTTCCAGAATAGTCTATGTGACCCTCCATGTGCTTGGCTGGAGATAGTGAGCGGTAATCGATGTCAGTGGCGTTCTTGCTGTCGGTTTCTGTGCACACTGTCTGGCTGAAAGTGTAGATTCCTCGGATTTTCGTGGCAGGCAGTAGGTATTGCTGTCTGTCCCATTTTCTCTTCTTCCCAGTATAAGGCCCGAATAAAATAAACTGAAATTGTTGTACGGCAGTGAAGCATTGATGTTTCCTGATGTTGCTGTCAGTGACGATTGTAGCGATGGAAGAATGGTGAGAGATAAATCAACGAAAGCTCGAAAATTGCCAAATGGTAATTATATAGAAGCTGTGAAACGCTATACGTATCTCGGAAGTAGCATTATAATGGAGACGAAGTTATCCCTCGATTCTCAAAGATCGGAATTGCGCTTGAGAATCTGCGTCACTTGTGGTGTCAAAAAGGCATATCGCTGGGTCTCAAAGGACGTGTAGCACACTACACTATGGGCTGTACTGTTGTACGGCTGCTAGACTTTGCCACTTCGGAGCGGAGATCCGGGACATCTTCAGGCCTTCGACCACGGGTGTCTCAGAACTGTAGCCGGAGTCAGCTGGAACCAGCGAATTCCCAGTGTGATTGGGAAACGGATTTTGAGTGAAGTGGACGGTATTTCATTAAAATGCATGTAGCACTGCAAACTAAGGTGGTGGGACACGTGTTACGCATACCGAGTTAAGACCCACCTGGCGAGCACTGTTTTCCGTGCCTAATTCGGAGTGTCGGAAAGCTAGCGGTGGACAGAATTTGACATGGCAGAAGATAAGGAAAGGATTTTATGAAGAATTTAGGTGTCGTTGCTGTTCACCTTCCAGAATAGTCTATGTGACCCTCCATGTGCTTGGCTGGAGATAGTGAGTGAGCGGTAATGTCAGTGGCGTTCTTGCTGTCGGTTTCTGTGCACACTGTCTGGCTGAAAGTGTAGATTCCTCGGATTTTCGTGGCAGGCAGTAGGTATTGCTGTCTGTCCCATTTTCTCTTCTTCCCAGTATAAGGCCCGAATAAAATAAACTGAAATTGTTGTACGGCAGTGAAGCATTGATGTTTCCTGATGTTGCTGTCAGTGACGATTGTAGCGATGGAAGAATGGTGAGAGATAAATCAACGAAAGCTCGAAAATTGCCAAATGGTAATTATATATATATATACATATATATATATATAATCTTTCCCATATAAANAATTGTAATTATATATATATATATATACATATATATATATATATAATCTTTCCCATATAAATGTAAATTAACATCATAAATCATATTTCGCGATTTAGGTATCGTGAAGACTTAAACGACAGGAGTTGACAACCACTAAACAGGTTCACCATTTTTCATTAGCTTGTCAGCCACGAATATATGCCGAATGAACAATCGAATTGTGGCTTGCAGATGAGCATAAAAGGGTATCACAGCAGAATGATTTTACAAGTTAGGGGTAGTCTGCATTTGCGGCACTGTACACTCGATGTAACTGTACACTCCACGAGCTCTCAACCGCAAGGTCAAGTTGGTCATGCGAGATAACGGAAGGCACCTCTCAATGGAGTCGTCATAGTTTATGGGACTAACAAAATAGCGATTGCGAACGGTTTGAAGACTCTCGGGGATGCATTCAGACAATGGGATGCTGATGTTGAAACCTGCTGTCGCGAGTAGGCCGGATGATAAGATCATTCTACGAAACACAGTGACTGTTCACAAATCTCGCCTGACCAAGAGCTGGGAGTTTTTGAAAATCCTATCCTAGTGGGTTACAAACAAACGGTGGGAAAGGGAGACAGTGTAACCAAACGAACTGAGTATAATACATGTGAAAACTGGGACGAACTAGGCAATTGGAACCCCAGTTTACCCACCTGTTGTCAAAATAGAACAGTCCTTTCGAACGTTCTACCCGAAGGAAGGTGGCCACATCCTCGTAGTTGGGCAACGTAGCGCTTAAGCCAACAAGACGGACGCCTCCACCGCCACCACCCAGTTCACTTGATCCATCGCCGATAGCTGCAGTCGCCTCGACAGCTCGAAGGGTTCGAGCGACGATGGCTTCCAAGATGGGTCCTCGATCATCATGAAGTAAGTGGATTTCGTCAAAAATGATTAGACGGACTAAGTTGATGTAGGCACGTTCATCACCACCACGTCTGGTGACAACATCCCACTTTTCTGGAGTACAAACAATCACCTGAGTCTCGTAGATCTGCTCACGAGTCAGTTGGTGATCACCAGTCAGCTCGTCAACCTTGATACCATAGCTGCTCAGAAGCTGAGGATAATTAGGATATTGGCAAAACGAACAAACATCAAGCAACAGGACCACTTATTCCAGACATGCAGTCGAAAATGCATGAAATATAATAATGTCAGTGCAACGTGCCTAGCCGGTCAAAAATTCGGGACAATCGGACCCAAAATATCGATAAGATCGATGAGATCAAATTAAGGTCCAGAAAGCGCGAAATTATTCACAGCAGATATCCCTGCAAGGAGAGCTTCCAGTACATTTATTTGGGAAATGGTGAGGTGTTCGGGTGTTCCCAGCGCTGATATCAAAAGCCGTTTTCAAACCTAGAAATACTGAAACTGCTAATAGCTGATAAATATACCGGATCTTCAGCGCATCGTAGCGTGAAAATATGGTCGATACGCCAAGACGCAGAGCAAAAGATTACTTATAATCTTTCCTTGATGGTTTCTATGGTCGATGTAGGTCAACGCATAATGAAATTTGTCAACAGTTAAGACACGACAGAACTACTCTATCCTTATGTAACAATGGTGGGGTAATGGATCAGTCATTAAAAAGGACCTTTCAAACACAAGGGTCAATCGGAATTAGGATGGAATGTTTCGCCAAAAGGTTTTGAGAAAACAGTTAATCATGGTTTCTATGTGCCAGTTACTGAATTATGACAAGTCATTGAAATATGAGTAAGCCAACTTACTTTATTAAAGTTACCCACGACTTCTTGGACAAGCGAACGCATTGGTGCGATATAAATAACCTTGAACTCATCTTTGTTGATAGTGCCATCTGGGTTGATAAATTTCCCCAATTCGTGCATAATGCACAGTAGAGCAACATTGGTTTTCCCAGCACCCTAAAATTAAGGACATCAGTGTAGTGCGATATGCGGACAGCAGTATATGACCACAAGGGGAGGACCAACTGCCAACTTGTGGTAAAAGCCTGATTGATAACAACATCGCTACTTACTGTAGGTGCGCACAGAAGCAGGTTCTCATCCGTCTCCAGTGCAGCATGACACAGACGACTTTGGATTAAATTCAATGTTTTGCAGCCTTCAAACGCAGCATGCGCATATGCTGGTAACTTTTCTATTTTTACCAAGGTTTCGCCCTGCTCTAAAGATCTCGGGCGCAAGGCCGGGACATGCACTTCCTCGTAGCACTTCTTTTGCTCACGGAAAGACCCATCCGGTAGTTGGCACCGTTTGTTGGCCATCAAATGTCCGCCTTGACTGAATGCTAAGCTCTCCAAATCGACCAGATTTGCAATCCCGATTGTTCCATCATCGACCATTTGGAGACCATCAGATTCCATACTCTCCTGTTCGACATCCGCCTTGGTCAAAAAAAGAAAAAAAGTGTGCAGTCTTACTGACCCGACCAGGAAGAGATGGGTTAAAAACAACGTAAACACTGTTTTACGGCGCTGTGGATACGGGAAGCTGATTGATGATTATCAAGTGACTCGTGACGGTTAACCAGAATTGAGAAAAACGCAAGAGAAACGGATCAATTTCACAAAAAGACATTAGGTTCTGGCCAATAAAGACCCTTCTAAAATAGCACATTCTTTGTCGGTTCAGATGTGGCACGTGAATTGAAAAAAGCCGCCAATAACACATGGATCGAAAATCAAATGTTACCGAACATTTCGGTTGCACCAGACCATCAGAAACCGTCGAACCCTCCCAGTACAGGAAACTGTGGGAACTTCAAAGTTAACAAATTGCTACCCAACCCTCCCTCAAGACCGTATCCACTCAACAGAACCACTTGATGAATTCCTGCAATCCGTAGACGACAGTCAAAGTACCACTTAGCGAACAAGGTGCGAAATCATCGGGAGCAGTGTCATACAATATGGTCGATGAGTGAATAAGTCAATGTAATGAGCTGATCCATAGCTATTCAGCAGAACTGTCTCACACAGCGATCAACCTATTCGATTTCATTGACAATAAATTGGACACGGATCTTCAGAAGTTCAGTTCACTTGAGTCTATGCTTCGCCTACGATCAACGACGACCCAGTTCTATCGAATTTGAAGATGCGCACCCCATGATAGCTCACATTTCACACACTACTCCATCTTTTTACTAATATCCGTGGGAAGGCATGCGGTTTGCGGTTCAAAAAATTGCTGGCCCAGTGTTAAAATAGTAAAACAGTAGGTAGGTAGATGGCTGCATGACGATTTCCCCTAGCTAAAAGCTGTCACTTTGACTTGGTGGTCGGGCTTGAGTGGTACAATGATCCCGAGGGTTACACTGGCAGGAACTCGTTCCAAAAAGTGCAACCATGCAAGGAAGGCCATAGGGGAGCAGTCTAACCAAGAGTGGCGAGACCCCGTACTACGAGGCGGTCCGGGGTAAAGTCGCACTGTCATCTGCGACAGTAGTGTGAAGGCAGTGAGATATTTACCCTAGGTGACCAATATATCCATATTAATGGACAGCGATGCTGCCTTCCTTCAAGGAAGGACGGGTTAGAAAAGGTCGGCCCCAAAAACCACACACTCCGATCGCCCAACGGTTGACCATGACCGCTTAATGGGTTACGCTGGTTAGGACGTGCACTCCGCCTCACGCGACCAGTTCCCGACCTAAAGCTGTCGCCTTGTCGTGGTGGTCGGGCTTCTGTGCTGCAATGATTCTGCGGGCTATACTGGCTGCAACTCAGTTCCTAAAGTTTCAACCATACCAGGAAGGCCAATGGGGAGCAACCTGACTAAGAACAGCGAGTCGCCATACTGCGAGTGGTCGCATTACGAGGCGGTCTGGAGATGAAGTCGTACTGTTCTTTGCGATAGATGTTTCCCCCAGGCGACCAGCATGTCTATATTTATGGAAGTAGTAATGCTGCCTTCCCCTGGGGAAGGATGCGTTAGAAAAGGTCGGCCCCAAAAACGGCACACTCCGATCGCCCTAAGGTTGACCGCGACCGCCGGCGCATTATCCAATACGGTCGAACTACTTTTTTAAACCAAAGAGTCCGGTGCTGCTCAAAAGGCAGCCACATCAGAAATGAGACAGCAATGTCCTACTCTCTGCCCCCTCTGGCCAGGCCGGCCCCCTACAGCCAAGTTAATCAGACCATTGAGTCATTGGCTCCGGGAAGGGTTCCTCAAGAAAGCCCTAACAACCACTGTCTCGCGGTCCAGACTTTTGAGTCAGAGGCTAGGACAGGGTCCCCGAACAAAACCCTACGTCCACCCACTGCCTTGTGAGTCAGAATGAGTCAACGGCTCAAGGTGAGGTACCTCAATTAAACTCCCTTCGTCTGCCTTGGCTAACGGGAAGTATCATTCGCCCGCGCAGTTCGGCGTCCACCGATGTCCCTTCCCAACCCATTTCCACAACACAAGCGAGCGTCTCCGGGTTATTTGACTGTCTCGCTGCCTATTAACAATAAACAAAAAACACCCTTCTCAATCCATGAAATCCTTTCTATATTGCACCTTTTAACGTCCGTGCTCTATGTCAAATTGGCAATCAGGCAATGCTTGCTGAAACCTGATAGTCCGTTAGAACTGACATATGCTGTGTCTCCGAAACACGCATACAAGGTCCAAGCACGTTTGTGCATATCACAACGTCAAGGATGAACACAGCTCTTTCACATTTCTTCCTCCGTGTGTCCGGTGACCCAGAAGCGACGACTCGTGGAATACATGGCGTGAGAGTTGCACTCAGCCCGAGAGCTGAACACGCTTTGCTGGATTGGATCCCAGTGAACAGTCGACTTTGCACCGTCCGGTTATTCAGTTCAATCAAGTTCAATGCCTCTCGGCACAAAAAACCGTGCCTGTTTGTAGTATCAGCTTATGCCCCAATGGACTACAGTTCCGAGGCGGAGAAGTATACTTTCTACTGAGAGCTACCCGGGCTGATTCGTCAAGCAAAATGCACTGACATTGTGATCCTTGCAGGCGATTCGAATGCTCAAGTAGGTCGTCTGAGCTTCTTGGAATCACATTTGGGTGGTCGATTCGGAGTCGATGCTCGCCGCACAGACAACGGAGATCGACTCCTTCAGTTGTGTGCTGATCATGAACTGTTTCTGGCAAGTACGAACTTTCAACATAAACGTTCGCACAGCGTAACCTGGCGGCCACCAAGTGCAAATCAACGATGGACCCAGTTGGATCAAGTGGCCATCAGCCATCGGTTGAGAGGCACAATTCAAGACTACCGTTTCTTTTGAGGCACACCACTTGAATCCGATCACGCCATGGTGCGTGCACGTCTGACAGTTCGTTTCCCTTCAGGCCCTCGCAAGCCAGAAAGAAGCATACCAATCCACTGTCTTCGAAGAAATACCATAGCTCAACGGTATCGATCTGAGCTAGCCCAACAACTCTCCACAGTATATCAATATGGCGGATGAAGCGTGGCAAAGTATGAAAGGAGCTATGTTAGCTGCGTTCAGTGCTGTCTGTGCAACTTCTTCAATTCGACCACAAGACCATTGGATGTCATCGAGATGGCTACGCATGACTGATACCAGCAACTCCATACCAGCAGGCTACAAGTACTCAGGCGCACACCAATCCCTCAAACGCCAAATAGTGAAGAGTCTAAGGAAAGACCGAGAGCTCTGGTGTGGAGAAGGCCTTTGTTACAGGAAACAGGCGTGCCCTATATCAACTGATACGATCGACTGGCCCTAGGAAAGCAACGGTCAGCGAAACGATAAGTGAAAAAGATAGCTCATTAATTCACTCGCAAAAACGTCGACTGGAAAGACGGGCCCAGCACCTCTAAGAACAGTTAAGTTGGCTCGCTTCAACACAGCCTGTGGAGATAATGCACACTAGTGAATGGAATGTAAACCTTGATCGCCTTTCGGAAGAGGAAATAAAGCACGAAATAGTCGTACTAAAGCGTGAGAAGGCACCAGGACCGGACGGTCTGTATCCAACCCTCTTCAAAGGAGGTGGAAAATCCCTAGTGACCCATTTGACAAAGCTTACTGGTACCATACGGAACGAAGAGAGATGCCTGAAGAATGGGACATCTCGACAGTTATACCCCATCATCAAAAAGGGTACGCGGACGCTGTGTGAAAACCACCATGGCATCACTGTGTTAGCTGTGGCATCGAAGGTGCTCTCAAGCCATATCCTTCAAAGGTTGGCTGAAGACAGGGAGAGGCAGATCCGTGAAAACCAAGCTGAGTTCCGTTCTGCAAGAGGCTGCACCGATCATATCTTCACCGTCCGACAGATTCTGGAACAGCGACACTGCTTCCAGCAACCAACATTGGTTGTGTTTCTTGATCTGAGAGCTGTCTTTGATTCTGTGGACCGCCAAGCACTATGGCAGCGTCTGTGGAGCAAAGGTGTACCCCATAAATTCTTGACCCTCCTTGAAACGCTGTATGCCAACTCCCGCGCCCGTGTGAAGGTCCAGTGGAAACTCTCTCCTGAGTTCACCACATCAGTTGGTGTCAGCCAGGTCTGTCTTCTTTCACCTTTCCAGCTCAACTTCGTCATGAATACGATCATGAAATACTCACTAGCAGCCTCCCGTGTTTGTGGGATCGAAATGCTCCCTGGGCGTTCGCTCACAGATCTATAGTACACAGGCGACATAGCTCTTCTGGGATCTGACCCCGTGGTAATGCAAACAAAATTAAATAATCTAAATAGTTACGCCTCACGGTTCGGCATGCGCTTCACGCCTGAAAAGTGCAAAGTGCTACTGCAAGACTGGGTGGGCTCGAACCCTAGCCTCATGCCTGCGGATGAACCGACTGAGGTAGTAGACAAATTTGTTTACCTGGGCAGCTGTATCAGTCCCGGTGGTCTCGCGAAAGATATCTCCGTCCGGATTGGGAAGGCCTGAACAGATTTTGCTAACCTGTCACCTGTGGCGTAGGTGAGACATCAGCTTGTGTGTCAAGTGTGGCTCTATATTGCTGTACGGATCAGACACCTAGCCGCTGCGCGCCGAGGACGTCAAAAGATTTCCAGTGTTTAACCATCGATGTCTTTGGAGCATTGCCCAGGTCTGGTAGGAACACCGGATCATCAATGCTGAAGTACGTCGAATGGTATTCCGAAGAAATAACTCACTCTCGATAGATGAACTGATCACACTGCATAGGTTGCGCTGCCTTGGCCACGTGCTGCGTGTGCCAGTCGACCGACTCCCTCGAAAGGCTCTTTTCGCACAACCACGTGAAGGGTGGAAACCAGCCAGGGGAGGTCAAATAACAACTTCGCAGTGAAGTATAAAAGCCAATACCACCAAACTCAGTTGCGCTGGTGTTTGCCGTCTTCCTGGATGGAGAGTCTCAGACAGACCACATTAATGGTTAGAGACATTTCAGACATGGCCCAGTCGCGCCCTCAATGGCGCTCGTGCACCAAAGTTATTGCTTTCAATGCATAGCTCCCTTCCCAATCCTCCAACTTAACAGTCCACTGACAATGCTGTATTTACGCGCCAATTTATCAGCTCCCGCCTCCAATGCGCAGCTCTTGACCCCAACTCTCCAAATCATCGGTTAACGAAACTGCGGCAGCTACAACCACTGTGTGACAAGTACGCGATTCTTACAGCTGATGATGAAGTATGACGATTACCCAGTGGTTCTCTTCACTTGAGACAAAACACTCCCTATGATTTGTAGCCTGATTTGAATACTGGTAAAATCATAATCACATGAATGAGTGTGCTACACTTTAGTGACTCAAAGATCAAAGGACAGTGTGAATCCACCTTCTGAATGCAAAATCCATCCAATCTTGTCATTTGGATTGACTTCCACCGCTTTTACACGGGGGCAATATGGATAAACTTGTCTCAAATGGACGATACCAACAAAGACCTGAGGGGTCAAGGATGAATGAGATCCAGTATGATCTCAAGATTAGGGAACGTAGATATTACTGCCTAGTTGGGATGAGGTTCAAACAAGACAGAAGAAAACCACGGGAAAACCAGTATGCACGCAATGTGGACTAACCTGGAGGCGCGTAACACGTTGTATGGATTTCCGCTGGCGTTCTTCGGCAACCACATCCGTCGAGCCTTCCGTCTCACGCAATTCATGCAATATCCCAGAAAGCTGAGGATCGGAACGCATCTTTATCTCTAGTTGACTGCGCTCTTGAGGTGATTGAGCTTGAGCTAACAGTGTGCAGTACAAGACCATCATTCGATTCACGCGAAGCAACTTGACGAAGTCAAACTGACCATAACCAACTGTTCGTACCAGACGATTTTCCAAATCCCGATCGTCATTAGCTGATTGAAGAATTTCCAGACATTCGCGTGCCTTGCTCTGTGCAAGAACTGGATCCTGAGGGAGTAGAAAAGAGGGTGTCGAAGGACGATGAAGAAGATAGGAAACATAGTGTAGGCGTAAATTTGGTTTAAACAACTGGAAACCCGAAAAACTTTGGTTTTTAATTTCTTATCACGAAAATTTATATAGGGTCAGTCACAGTATTTTAAGCAGACCGATGCTTCCCATAGGCTTTCCACAGCAAAGTGAGACAGTTGCTTTAAATCGAGAGCAGCATTCACAACGGCCGTTTCTTCCTATTTTTTATTGCAGACTGACCCTATAAGGGAACAGTGACTAGCTGATACAGCAACAGTGGATATTTCCTTCTTGTGGTTTACGGCAAACCTCCCGAGAAACTAGCCACCCTTTGGATGAACTAGCAATGGAACGTTTAAGTACCCGCGCTTTTTCTTCATCACGATGACCACAGCATGTTTTTATATGTAGTATGATTGGCCGGGTGGCACTGTGAATAGGTTTACGCCGTTTACCACGGCCACCGATCAAACCTTGGGTGATTGCTCGAACCAATTCATATGATAAAGTTGAAATATGGCTTCTTGAGACTGGTCATGTGGTAGAGTGAAACTTGTTGGAAAAAGGCTGCAGATGATCGACCATACCTGATGATTCTTGTCGAGGTAAAAAACCAAGTGAATTGTTCATAGGGATCAGCCATCTTAATAACATCTTCCAACTTAAATCTTATCTCAGGTAACTCACGATAACCGTGAAACATCGAAAAAACACCTCCCACTCACTCAAATTTCCTGGGAAACTTCACGTAACGAGACACTATAAGCCTACAATATTTAGCGTACCTTCTACGGCGAAGACAAACAAACAAAAGCATACCAAGATTGTACTCTCTCGGTTCGAACTTCCCTACAGAAGTCATTTAAGCTCTGTTTCACCTGGCCTGATCGAATCCCACGAATGTAGACCTGACAAGTTCCTATATATATATNTATATATAATATATGATATAGTACAAATTCGAGCGACTTCAATATGCAGAGGGACCGTGTAACTATACCCGTTCGCAAAGAAAGTTGTCAACAGGAGACTCAACTGACCTCCAGCTGAGTTGCCAATTAACACCAACTTAATTTGTAAACAGGTGTAGTTCCGCAGTCGCGTACATCTTGTTGTTCAAACAGAACACATAAAGCTGATGGAAATTCGAGGGCTGCACCTACCTGATAAGTCCAAAGGACATTATAACCGGTCATGAGCTGTCGAGAAGTTTTCGTCAACCTTATAAGTAGTGTGTTATGGCAATATCTTGTATGTCGTTTGATATTCTATCCACTTGACTTAGACGCGGCAAAAAACAGTCCTTCGCATAGAAGATTTAATAATCATAAATAAATGATAAATTTATTTGTCTCCGGATGCCCTGGCACATTTGACAAGGGTAAGAACAGCTAAATCCACTCTGTGGGAGGTTGCCTTTAGATATACTGCAACTCCAGCAAGCTGAAGACAACTTGGGAAGGGCTATGGGGAAAGGAAAACCTGTCGGGAACTAACATAGCATGAATTTAGCTCACATTTCGCTCACCTTGCACTGTTTTGCCAAGTTGCGCTGTAGCCAGAATGCATCGATATCTCGGGGACACAAGTGTTCTGTTGTGTGTCTCAGTGCCTTATTCTGGTCCGCCGAACGCGACTGAAGAGTCATCTCCACGACAGCTTCCTCGCCTTCTGCCTCGTCTTCCTCGTCATCTTCCTTCACTTCGCCATAGACGTCATCTTCGTCCTGTTCGAAAAGAAAGCCGAAGAATACAGTGTGAGGTTCGACAGAGTACAGCGTATGGCTACCTGACCACCAGCTCTTAGTGAGTGAACTCCATGAGCTCACAAGTTGACCGCATAATTCTCGTCGATTTCAGAGTTGAGCCAATTTCCGTGAAATGGCCGATAAATGACTGAATTGAATTGGATGCATTGGGTGATGTTCCCTGACAGGAAAACATCATTGGTCATTGACAGGCTACCATAGAACTGAGAGTGGAGTGCAAGGTATGGTTCGAGCTCACCAGCATTTTGGTTAGCGAAGTTGAATGCCGCAGTTACTCAACAGTTAAAGCTGAAAGTTCCCGTTACTAGGTGCACGCGTTCATCGAGGAACAATTATGATCCGATGGCCATGATCCAAAGGTATTATTGAATGAGAAAAATCCTCATTTGTCACGATTTAAGTCTTCGACCACATGGCCGTCTGTTCATGAGTCCGACACGAAGAAACGCCTCAGAAGTTACATACTTGCGCGCACGTGCGCGCATGGAGTGAGCTAAACACTTCAAGTCCACGGACGATTATGGAGCACGTGTAGCAGCTAGACTGCGGAGAAAACACGTTCCCGCCGTCCGGACTTGCACCCAGGATCTCTCATAAGTTATCCACACACGATAAGTCACTTTTTGACTTATCATGGTGCAACTAGTAACTGTAAACTACTATTTACCACAGTAAAAACTGCTATTAGTGCATATACTTTCTGAGTAACATTATACCTATCAATTATCATGAACTGTGCACTAATACATTCTACTCTTGATACGCAAGCTGACGTCACGTCTGCGGCGCGAATATCGGAAGTTGGCATATGCTGCCCTGGCCTTCCCAATTCGGTAGGTGATTCTGTCTTTCACCAGACCGCTGCGACTTATGCAGTTGTCCATGTCGACCGGTTTACTTGCAAGCTTGAATTTGGTTAACTGAGGACAGAATTGGTCGCAGACACGTAAATGTCCACGGTAGGAGCATAGAATCTACGAAAGAGACAAGAATTTACAAAGGACAATCTTTACCGCCAGACAGTTTCTGACGGTCAACGAAGTCAAAAGCAGATTTCAAACCGAGAAATATGACCATTGGTGGTCGTTGGAGGGAGCGGCGCAGTTCCAACACTTGTTACAACATAACGATATGATCATTGCAAACCCGCACAGGGCAAAGCCCAGCTTGGTGCTCGTGAAACTGACTACTTGGATGACGGATCAACCAATGTAGGACAGAAAAAATCTCGGAAGGTGTAGCCACTAAACTGATGCCCGGGGTTTTCGTTCGATGTTTTCGCACCATTTTTGACTATGAGAACCACCGGCGATGCGCTCCATTGTTAGAATATTTTCCCTATAACATACATTTTGGGGTAGGGTCGTTAGGTTAGCCAACACGGACTCATTGCTTATTGTGAAAGATGCAAACCGTCCGGTCCAGGTACCCTGTTGCGCCGCAGCAATGAAGTTGACACCAACATTTCACTTAAATTCATTTTCTTCTTCCAGCAGTTGCTGGGCCTAGCAAAACTGTTCTCCAAGGCGTTCAGCCCATCGTTCCTGTGAAGGGATTAAGGTCCCATCGGAGACCGTCTCACCAACATTCCTAGGTCTAGTTGATCCAGTTACCCAGAACAGGGCGCAATTGGCCATCTTTGCAGAAGCCTTCGTCATTTCCCGTGGGTCATCACTATTGATCCCCAACATCCAATAACCTTCATCTATTTCCTCAAAGTTTTAACCTCATTTTTAACCTTAAGCGAAGACTCCTCGGTAGCGAAACAACGATGACTATTCCCGGAAAAAACCTCATCTATCAATTCGAGGGAACTTAAACCAGTTCTGCCGAAGTGAATGAGCTTTCGGCTCTAATAACCGAGTACCCTGTACAAATTTCCCCCGAATACAAACAAGCTGTCATCCCTTAAGTTGCAGGGTGTCTTGTTCCAACGGAACGACGAAGTCCATCGTCCAAAACCTTAGGACCGAGACGGTTATTAGGACACACACTCCTTATATGCATCATTCGTCCGTCTACCAACCCTTTGGCATTCCCGTTGCACCTAGTTCTAGAGGAAACCGAAGAGGACTGGAGACGTAATCAGCACAAAGTCCTCGTTGCACCCGATGAGACTACTGGAAGCGCTGAAATCACCACTCTTGGACTGTGTGAATTTGTTCATCCAAGATACAACGTACAAACATTTATGCGTTCTTCGCAGTTTGGACTTTGCTTGGGTCTATAAAGTCGTGATAATCAGCCTGGATATCGCATACCAAGTATTACCTTTGAGCTTGGTCCGAGATCAATTCACATCAGTTCGCCCAATTATATTTCCGCGGTGAGTGCGTTGGATTGTCTTGGGCACCGTGCCTACGCTGATGGTATTATGCCACTCCTCGAGAAGGTTGTCAAGACTGAAGATCGGTCAGTTTTATATAGACTTTTTGGCTATCATCAACTACTGACGGAACCCACTACTCATAATGCTTCGACAGCCCACAACAATCTTCATGACTCATCAGATGGGCAAATTCCCCGAGATTCCATCAACATCACGTTCTGCTTGAACTCGTTGTAGGCAGTTCGCACTCATATGCAAACCTACTTGCTCTTAACTGGGGATCCAGAAGAATCTAGCTCAATCTCTCGTTTATGACATCCTGCGATACCTCGAATGTCACGCCAACTGAAACATGAGGTGGTCTTTGTGCGGGGCACAGTTGAGGAGGAATATCATAAATGAATTCGTCCGGATTAAGTCTCCCACTAAAACCAAACCGTTTGCAAAAAAGTGTATTACGCGAACTACCAACGACGTCGTCTGTGTCGATACAGTCCTTCTGCGGCCTCTGATCCACCGCAATAAAATCCCACGCGTCTCTCCCTAACCCCGACCAGGAGTGATGCACTTTGTGCTGCCAAAACCAACTTGGTTGGTCTTCACGCTGGCACACTCTGACTCGGACCGAGATATCCACATGAGCCTAGGACCTGACGCCTCCTAATTTGTCGTTGACACCGTCCTTCAGCAACTCCCCACTGACCCGTGTTACATTCCTTGAAAACAGAACCGTAAAAATGTATTATTTCTCCCTTGATATGGTGTAGTGTCTTTTCAACTGTAGAAACGTTTCGAGGGAATGTTGCATCCTTCAGAATTTTCGAATTCCAACGAACTAGCAGCTGTTATATGTAGCCTAAATAAGACCGGCGAGATGGCCCAAGTGGTTAGAGCGCGAATTTACTGACCGAAAGGTCCGTGATTCGAACCCGACCTCTGCCACTCGACTTCCCCTGTCTAGGTTTGGGCGACCTGACAGTATCCCAGCCCTCGTGCCTCCTTCGTGCGGCATGGCAGCTAGGCACCGAAAGGGTGCTACAGCTGAACGACTAGACAAACCACACAACCCACCACATACTCCTCACAAAGTTATCCTACAGGGCAGAATTGAGTCTGAAAATGCAGATGGAGGTTCCCATAAGAACAGCAATGCCCTCGTATCATTGAGATAAAACCATCTATGTGAGCTACCCCGGGTAACAGTACTCGGCGAATCCCAATACGATCGGCTATCGTTCGCAATCAAAGGACAATCATCCCCGGCTATCAATTAAGTCGAGCGGCGAAACGTTGGCCAACAATCTGAATTGATTCTTGTTTAGTGTATTAATGAACTACTGCTTACATTATAGGTAGCGCCGGCTTGACCACGGGACGGATGGCATCAGCAGCAGCAGCAGCAACAACAACAACAACATCAACATTAGACAGAAATATCAGCGATGACACTGATGTTTCACTGCCGTATAACCACAAAGTTTACCTGATTATGTCTAAAGTCAGGGTGAAAAGAAAGAGGAAGAGTGCGTGGGAGAAGGGAACTGGTGCTGAGCTATCACAAACATTTTGGGTTGTCTACACCGCCAAGCGATCAGTTGTAAGATCTGGAAAGAAACTGAGAATACGAAAGTCAGACATCGCTGGCCGCCATTTCTTCCGATGTCTCATAGCGCAGAGGGGTCATCATGGTCCCATCCTAGAAAGCGGGCCGCATCGACTTAACACTTCGTAGATTCTTTCGCACCATGCTATCAAGTCATACGCTGCCCCCCCCCCCGCGAACAGACTGAACTTTAGCGTGGTGTGACAGTTTGTGTACCTCAGGGACCCATTGGTCTATACTGTGGGGTGTCCGTGCGACACTCGCAGTCTCACATAACAGGTTGGTCAACGGTCCCCCGATCCTCCATGTTGGGGGTTGGAACATGTATTGCGATTGGTTTTGTAAAAATTGAGATGCACTTACATTCCCAGCCAAACATCGCTGCCTTGTGGTCGGACTTTTGAGCCTAATCGTCCTCTTGTCCAGGTGTAGGTGCCCTGGCAGTATCCCAGAAGACTCAATCATGAAAGACACATAAGCCAAATCAGCCGTTGCAAGGTACCATCATTTGAGTCGCGTTACTTGCTGCGTACAGCAGGGTGGATAAGCGAAAACATGCTACTGCTGACGCCTCCCATCTTTCTCTCTCAGACAGACTTTTTCTTCGCCCTCTCCCCATCCCATTGGTGAATATATCCTCGTAGGCCCAGCACTTAGGACTGATGACTCTGTTCGTCTTGCATCGTTTTTGCAAGAAACATGTGCGTGTTATGCGGCCCTGACATTCTGAAGCTCCGACGCCTGGTCTATCTGGCTGACTTCAATGTCCGCACTCTGAAGCAAGCGCGACAAGGAGCTCGTGTTACTTTCACACCAGACTCGTTTGACCTTGTACGCTGTATCAAAATGCAAGCAATCATCATCATCATCATAGACAGCATGACATCAGTGTTCAACACCGATGCTTCACTGCCGTACAACCATGATTTATTTGAAAGCCTTATTGTGAAGAAAAGAGTAAAGGACTTAATGCTAGCTTATCACAATCATTCCGAGGTACCTACACCTCCAGACATTCACTTAAGCAATCTGG